TGGGGCTGGCACGGGATTGGGCAGTGTTTCGTTCTGCTGTGCATGGGGTCGCTATGAGTCGGAAACGACTCAACGGCACTTAACAACAACAACAAAGTTTTAAAATAGACAAATACAAGCAAACTAAACACCAGAAAAAAAGAAAGAGAAAATGAAAAAAATCGGTGGAGGACAGAGCAGGGCACCCGGGCTCCATCCGAGCACACAGACTGAGATGGAATTCCTGTGGGCCCAGAAGTTGGGTGGGAGTGGAAGATGGCCACCCCTCCATTCACCAAGCATGTGTGGGGTATAAGAGTAACAAGAGGAATGTTCTACCTTTTCAGTCATGCAGGTCCAGAGTGTCCTTGGTGTTACTGGCAAGCAGAACCTGTTCTTAAGCCCCTGGAATCTGGTAGAGCGTTGTCTCTTTAAATATCCCAAATGGTCAAGCTGCTTGTAAACATTCAAAATGGCGGCACCCTCCGGACAGGCAGAAGTGCACAGCTCAGCCCATCTTCCTCTTCACCACTCCTTCCCCTTTTATTCCACAGCCACCAGAGCAGTCCTCTGTGCAGTCACTGGCTAGCAGGGCTGATTTTTAGGTTAATTCTTAGGTCCTGCCACCACTCGGCAGTCTCCAAGCTGTCTGTGCCATGCCATCAGGATCGCTGCAAAACTGCAGCTCTGCATGTCTCCTTTTCTGGTATTTTCATGCAAATTCTTCTGCTAGTTGGGGTTTAGTCCACTTCTACATCCTTCCCTTCAAGGCTTAGGGGTCCAGGATTATCTTCTGTGTCTGTGTTAATTAGTTTCCTTTCCTTTCCTTTGTTGAAGAAGGTCTGTGCAGTCTTTCTGCCTATTCCGCCATCTTGGAATCCACCTCCTTAATTTCCATTTTAATGGTTATATGGGAGCTCTGGTAGCATAGTGGCTAAGACACTTGCCTGCTAACCAGACGGCTGGCGGTTCAAACCCACCAGCCACTCCTCGGAAGGAAGGTTGGGCAATCCTACTTCCGTAGTGATACTGCCTCGGAAACCCAAGGAGGGGTCGCTATGAGTTGGGGCCGACTCGACGGCACATAACAACAACAACAACAAGGTTTTAAATTATAAAGAAAATAACACATGTTGCCTTCTCTCACTGTGCTTTTAGGTACGGCTGGAAGCTGCCTGCGCAAGTTTAGTACAATGCCCTTCCTGTTCTGCAACATCAACAATGTGTGCAACTTTGCATCCAGAAATGACTATTCCTACTGGCTGTCTACTCCTGAGGCCATGCCAATGTCTATGGCCCCCATCACCGGGGACAATATTAGACCATTCATTAGTAGGTAAGTGGGGCATTTTTAGGGACAGATGTACAACTGAAGAAGAAAAATCTCTTGTGGTCAGGTCATAGATTTTTTTTTTTCTGAAAATACTCAATCTATTGTCGTTCAATTCATTGAATGTGATACCCCATCTTTGTAAGATAAATCAACCATAAAAATATTTGCTTTAAAAATCTGTTATGTTCTTTAAATATTGTAGTGCAAAACCAAGATGAGATAATGGCTATTGTTTATGCCAAATTTATATTTTGTTGTGACATGTGATTTATTTTGATACTCACCTTTCCTCCTCTGAGCAAAGAGATGTTGCTGGATTCCTCAGTAAGCATGAAGCCAGTGCTTTTCAATGTTATTTTCTTGGTTTCCCTATAGAGTTATTTTAGAATTTTTGTTTTCCTAATCACCTCCAAAAAAACTAAACTCATTGCCACCGAGTCAGTCCCGACTCATAGCAACCCCTCCTTGGGTTTCCGAGGCAATATCTCTACAGAAATAGATTGCCCAATCTTCCTTTCATGGAGTGGCTGGTGGGTTTGAACCACCAGCTTTCTGGTTAACAGTCAAATGTCTTAGGCACTATGCCACCAGAGCCCCTCCAATCACCTTCAAGACGTCTTAATACTACTGATATGCTGTGTTATCTGTTTAGGTATGGTAGGTGTCTCTGTACATTATACATAAAATTACATGGATTTATCTTATACATAGAGATTTGTTCAAAATAGTATTTTTTTGCCATCCCCCCAGAAACAGTTTTTGCGTCACGGGGGTGATACTGTCCCCATCGAGAATGCATGTGGTAAGCTTACTGACTTCCCACATGAAATGCTTATCCACACTGATGTATGCAGTCTGCCTTCAGGCCCTCAGTGGTTCGTCTTGTAGGAAGTAAAATGGGAGATAGAAATTATTAGGACTGAAAAGTACATGTTTGTCCTATCTTTGCCTCTTTCCTTCTGATTAAAAATTGATTCTTTAGTTCTACTTAGAGGTAATAGCACGGTAGCAAATGAACGTTAATTTGACTAAAAAGCTATTTTATAATTTCATTTTTCTTATAGACTAAGATAATAAAATATGAAAAGAATAACAAGTCAGGAAAACTTTGCTTCAGACAGGTGAAAGTGAGCAAAACCTAAGCTTTCCTGTATTTTTTGTAAAGAAATAAGAAGTTCTGACTATGAAGAAAAAGTATTAGTTTGTGAAGAGCCGCACACTCAGAGGGTAAAGGGAAGGGACTGTTCAGAGTCTTCCTGCAGGAATCTCACCCCTTGTGAGCACAGCAGTTTTGTGGTCATCCACGTAATTCCTCAGTTACTGATAACCATTTCCTGTTGGGGGGGAAAGAACAGACAGTTATGGTGGTGATGGACTCAGCACTTGTGAAGGTCAGGTGCTGGCAGATCACAGTTTTATAAGAGGTCTGTTCCTTCTAGGACTCTGGAACAGAAAGGCTAAGAGATGCCCATTAAATAGGAAAATAATTTATTTAAAATTTTTTTTTTACTGCTTTACATTAATTAAAATGTCTTCTTTGATTTTTTTTCCTTGGAGCTTTAAGCAGTTTTATTGTAGAGGTTATAATATGGAAAAAATCATTTTTTATACTTATAGAATACCACTTTTCAGAATATAGACATATCCAGTGTGTCACTGAAAGCCTATTGACCATTCTGTTTTTAGACTTTTCTTGCTCAGAACCATGCTGGGTACACTAGAAGGAAAACTAACAACTTTTTTGTTTTTGTTTAGCTTCCCTTGGACAATAAGGTAGAATGTGAATATTCATTTATACATGTTTCCTGTTTAGTTTCTTAATAAAACTGACATTTGATTCTTGATTTGGTTGGGGGGAAAAAAAAGAAGCATGCTTTTGGTATATTTCAAGTACATCACCATGAGAAGCTTTGTGTCTCAGATATGTAGTCTCTGTGGACACATTACTTTCAGTAAGACTCCTCTAGTTGTAGAAGCATAAACAAGAATCTTAGTTGTTTAAATGTCCCAGCACTTTACATGTCAGGGTTTTTCCAGTGTTATGTTACTAAAACCAAAAAACCAAACTCACTAGACCTATAGAAACTGAGCATGAAGGAAACTTACAAGTCATGCCATAAGCCTGCTGCCAGTTACTCCATCCATGTCTCTCATTCCTTTTTGTAAGGATGCTGGCCCTTTCTCCTTGGCTGTGAGCACTGAGGTTTCCATCGTTCCTTTAACTTAGCAGTTTCCAACAACTTCTCAGGACTTCAGGTTTTATCTGAGGTCTTCCCTTTGGGGAGATTCTAAAGCTTATTATTATTATTATTATTTTAAAGCTTAGTTTTAGAAATGTTGTTGTTGTTGTTATTTGCCGTCATGTCGGCCCCGACTCATAGCGACCCCTCCTTGGGTTTCCGAGGCAGTATCACTACGGAAGTAGGATTGCCCAACCTTCCTTCCGAGGAGTGGCTGGTGGATTTGAACCTCCAGCCTTCTGGTTAGCAGTCAAGTGCCTTAGCCACTATGCTATCAGAGCTCCCAGTTTTAGAAATAGTTAATATAAAATTCTTTATTTTAAGCAGAAAACGTAGCAACTTTTCTGCTTTTCTCCTGAGAGTTGGACAAAATTTTCTAAACATTTTCATCATAAACCTACTGATTAATTGCTCTAGTGGAAAGAGCACTGATTTATCTTCCACCAAATGTTAGGCACCTTTAACTTTCACTGAGGTTAGAAACAATTGTGATATAAAGAACATCTCTGAATTCTGAGCACAAGAAGAACTGAGTTCTAGTTGTGGTTTTGACACAATTAACTGTGGCATTAGTTTCTTTGTAAATAATACAGAGAATTGGATCATACGAATTTTAAGGGACCACTCAAAATCAAACCAAACCCTCTGCCATCGGGTCAATTCCGACCCTCAGCAACCCTGTAGGACAAAGTAGAACTGCCCCATAGAGTTTTCAAAGCTGTAAATCTTTACAGAAGCAGACTGCCTCATCTTTCTCCAATGGAGTGCCTTGTGGGTTCAAACCACTGGCCTTTCAGTTAGCAGCCGAATGCTTTAACCACTGTGCACCAGCGTTCCTTAAGGGACCTAACAACTCTTTAAATATGCTACTTTGTGTTCCCTAAGCACTCTGTCACACAGAGAGCCTGACAAAAAAATAAAGTGCTTTCCTCGATGCTGTATTTCTTATCCTGTGTATGGCAGACAGATGGCGGCAGATGTATAAGGCCAATTTCAGTCACTGTTGTTTAACTGAACCTTTTAATTCATCTGCATTTATGTGAATAAAATAGAAAATTGCACAACACACACACAAAAGTCCATGGAAAATCAAATGCCTAATTTAGACCCTCCTCCTACTCCTCATCCATTTTCATGCAAATGTTCCAGCATAACTAGGTGTAATTATTAACAACATTTATATTCATTTATCAGCATTGTTAACACTCTGTTCATTTTGTGACTTGAATGCAATTATCGTACTGCTGGTGTTTAATTTTTTAACAAAACATTATCCCACCAGCGAAGGGTTCCCTTAATTGAACAGCTTTTAGTCAGAACACTGTGTGTTGTTTTAATTTATTCTTGGGTGCAGTTCCAGTGGCTGAGCTTGAGCCAGCCCTTCTTGGGAAGCCTCATCTCACTCGACATGTTCTTTGAGAGTTACTTCAGCTATAATGGTCCCTCTGACAGCTCCCAGCCTTGAACAGCTGAGGCCTGGCGATAGGGTTTTTTCACTGGTCGATTGGGTTCTGGCCTGGAATAATTTTCCTTAGGTGAGCATTCAGTGTCAAGTGCAAAGTATGCAATCTTTTGCTTACTCTAATTTACTAAATTTATTTCTTTATTAAATAGTCTTAAGAGTGTCAGGTGTTCATTTCAGAAGTGTAATCATTTGAATTTCAGTAACACCCTTCTTGAAACATTAATTGTGTTTGTTCAAATATGTACTTATTGTCAAAAAATTGGAAAACACTGAAATGCACAAAGGAGAAAATGAAAGTCACATGTAACCTCAGCCCTTGCAGCGGGTAACTACTATTGTCATTTTACCATCTGATTTTTTTCCTATACAAAGCAGAAGGTTAAATAACACATGTTGGATTTGCTTTTGATTTCATCATTTTAATACTGAGAAGAGCTTGTAAAACCAACAAGAAGGTGCTAAGGCTTGAAGTCTAAGCAGTTAGCCCAGCATTATCCCCTGAATAAATATAGGCAGTCCCCAGGTTACAAACGAGATCAGTTCCTAAGTGTGTTTGTAAGTCACATTTGTAGGTAAGCTGGAACAGGTTCATAGGGTTCTTAATTAGCCTTATGTTTCTTAATTAATTCAAGAAAAGGCTCTCAAACCCTTTTTATTGACTTAAAAGCTGCACATGCAGCAAGGCAAGATGACTGTGTTGAAGAATTTGTTGAGAGTAGGGGTTGGTTCAGTCGTTTCAATGTGAGGACAAATTTACCTAAAATTAAAGAACAAGTACGAATTGTCCTTGAGTCAGATGTTCATAACCCAGGGGGCTTACTGTAACCAGTTGAATCAGAAAACTACCCAGAAGAGACTGAGTGAAAATAATGAGTCAATAAAACCTTCACCCCCTGTCCTTCTCTTCACTGTACTGAGTGTTTTTGCTCTGGTGTCCTTCCAGATGTGCTGTGTGTGAGGCGCCTGCCATGGTGATGGCTGTGCACAGCCAGACCATCCAGATTCCACAGTGCCCCAGTGGGTGGTCTTCCCTTTGGATTGGCTATTCTTTTGTCATGGTAAGTGTTGAAGAAAACTCCATCTTTTTGGGAAAGACCCACTCACAAAAGCCCCATCCTTTCCTCTATAACCGTGCTGCTAGTCCTCTCAAGTTCTCTGGATCTTACTGCCCAGGTCTCTCCTCCCTCACTAAGACCATCTCCCTTCCAAAGCGAGAGCCTGGCCTGCTATCCTTGGGGACAGCAGTGGTTTCCTGCACCCAGCGTAGTGCCTAAGGCACTTGATTGCTAACCAGAAGGCTGGCAGTTCAAACCCACCAACCACTCCTCGGAAGGAAGATGGGGCAATCTACTTCTGTAGTGATACTGCCTCAGAAACCCAAGGAGGGGTCGCTATGAGTAGGGTCCGACTCAAGGGCGCATAACAACAATACTAAAATAGATGGGATGAATATATTCCTGGAAATACAAGCCTGGGGCCCCCACTCCCTTCCAGTTACTTTACTCAGACACTCCATAGATCTCTTCAAGCACCAGCAACATGATGAGGTTTTCTGTAGTCAGAACTTCTTTCAGGGAAAAGAGCTTGCACATGGGAGGCACATTTTACTAACACATGCAAGCTTGAAAGCAGAAAGCTTGAATTAGGAAGAAAACACTTGAGGATTGGCTAAGGGAGTACTGTCTCCTATAGGCAAGGTATAGCCCTTCAAGAAAGTCGTTGGGAGCCTTGAGTTTTCTATGCCCATCATACAGGGTAAGGAGTGCTCACCCATCCCCCACCTATCCCATTTATCAGACCTCCCAGATACTCCCTTCCCCAAAAATATGCTTAGCACAGAAAACATGATACTTGTTGGGATGCCTATTGTACCTTATTGTTTTATTTTCACTTCAGTATAAAGTACAGATTAAATGTATAAAAACCTCTGCGCTTGAATGGAATTAGGCTGTTTCAAGAACAAAATTGTGGACTCTTACCTGATTATCCTAAGGCATTTTATTCAAAATCAAGGTCATAAATGCTCCTGTAGCCAATCAGTCTTTGGTTTCAGTTTAGGATATTCTCCAGTCTTCCTAAGGGAGAGAAAGCTGATGAGGGGAAGATGAGCTAATTCCTGTGCTGATGAATTAAGAGCACAAGAGCTTCCACATTATCCCTCATTCAACTCAATGTTCTCTCTGACAGTGGCATTGAGAGTCATGTGTGTCAGGAACAGTAATTTGCTCAGTTCTCTTGGTGAGGGAAAACAATACTGTTAATCTATTCTCTTGAAGTTGTGGGATGATTCCCTTGAGCTGCCCCCACTAACAGATCCTTATCAGGAATGTGTGGGTTAATACACAAAAGGGAGTTTTTCAGAGAACAATCCTTATGGGGTATGTCTTGCCAACTTGAAGTTTTGCTGAATTTGTCAAAGTTAGAACTTGACCAAATAGGCCTCCATCTTATTCCCACCCCCATGTAAAGGTCTCAACATACTTCCCTTCCCTACAAGAAAACTGAAATAGAGAGTCTATCTCTCGTTTGCAGTTTTCTGAAGTCATTTAGCTGCAAAGTATTTCACAGTATGACTTAGTTTAGAAAGAGCAGGGATGATGATAAAAGTTATTTCTGAGGTACTAGACGTCCTTGGATATTGATCTGAACTCACTTCAGATCTAAGGAAGCTAAATAAATGTGTCAGCAAAACCCGAGCCAGCATTCTGGCCTGAGGGCCAAGTGAGAACTTGAGTATCCAATGGTATCCATCCCATCTTGGTCTTTTGGAGATTTGTGGTGAAATGGAGAAGACTGTTCTAGAAGTCTGAGGATCCCTGTTCTTGCCTCAGCTTTGTCTTCACATTGTGATCATGGGTGTACCCTGCAAGTCCTGGTATCCTCACTTTTTCACATGGAATCTGAGGGAGTTAGCTTTGTCCTCAAAGGTCCCTTGTAGCCCCAATATTTTAGAGTTCATATTTCTTCTATCTAAAAAAATAATTATGGAGATGTTTCATAATGTCTCATTCAAATTTATAGATCATTTATGTTAGGTTTTTGGTTTCTGAGGACCTATTTGAATCCATTAGAACAAAATGTAGTTTGATAGCTAATCATAGTAGTATTCTTTTCTCTCAAGTTTTTTTCTTTTTTAAAGAAAAAGAAAGGATGATTATTCTTTGCCTTAGAATAGGATTCATATAGCATCTAACATATTGAAAATGTGACTGTGTGTGTAAAATTTGGTTTCGTATCAGTTGGTTCTAACATTATTTGTGTATTTTGGCTACTGTCTCATATTTCAGGTTAGAATAGATTTTAGGTCCAAAATAATAACTTATATTAAAAAATAATGCATGGTAAGGTCAGGACTTCTTAAAATTCTAATAGAGCCGGACTAATCATCTGCTATTTTGGGAGGACCTTTTAGCTGACTTCTTGGTGCTCTTTAGCGCCTGGCTGTTCCTCAGCCCAGGAAACAGGGAGTAACTTGCAGAGGCCATCTGGGAAGTGTTTGGAGGGGTGTTTATGCAGAGTGGATTATGTGGTAACCACATGAGGCTGGAGAGTGCTTGCTTTCCAGAAAGGAGCACCCTGGGTCCTTCCTGAGGAACAATAAATCTCCTGGGCTCTGGGAAGGGAATTCTCTGACTCACTGTTCACATTTGTTCCCTAGCACACCAGCGCTGGTGCCGAAGGTTCTGGCCAAGCCCTCGCATCACCCGGTTCCTGTCTGGAAGAATTTAGAAGTGCACCATTCATTGAATGCCATGGCCGAGGAACTTGTAATTACTATGCAAACGCTTACAGCTTTTGGCTAGCCACTATAGAGAGAAGCGAGATGTTCAAGTAAGTTGGAAAGGGACCTGTCCTATACGGTCCTGGCCTCCTTTGTTGCTTGCATTTTCAATGATCACACCTTCCAACACAGAGTCCTAAAAAATGATTATAAAATAGTAATTATGGCTGTTTCTTCCACTTAAAGGAGTCTTGGTGGTGTAGTGGTTAAAGCATATGGCTGCTAACCAAAGTGTTGTTGGTTCAATCCCACCAGGCACTCCACTGAAGAAAGTTGAGGCAGTCTGCTTCTGTAAAGATTTATAGCCTTGGAAACCCAGTGTCAGTCTCTATGAGTCAGAATTGTCTAGATGGCAATGAGTTAGGTTTTTTGAGTTTTCTTCTACTTAAAGTAATGAGTATTTAATTCTCTTTGACATGAGCAAATTACCAAGATGATATTTAAAGGCAAATATTCTGTAGTAGGCTTAAGGTTTCCATTTACTGAAGAACTGGGGCTGGGGAGGTCATCTTTCATTTTTCTATATAGATCCACAACAATTTAATTTGAAGCAATTAAAAATCTTCAACCAGAGTATGTTTAAAATATTATTCATTTAATAATAAAGGAGAGGAAAGTGAGCAGAGTTTATTTTCATAGTATCTATAATGCCAAGGGGAGCTCTGGCTGCACAAGGCCTAAGGCATTTAACTGCTAACCAGAAGGCTGGTGTTTCAAACCCACCAGCCACTTCCTCAGAAGGAAGACTGGGCAATCTGCTTCCATAGAGATACTGCTTTGGAAACCCAGAAACAACTCGACAGCAGTAAGTTTGGTTGAGGAATTCTGGTGACGTAGTGCCTAAGGCATTTGCCTGCTGACCAGAAGGCTGGCGGTTCAAACCCACCAGCCACTCCTTGGAAGGAATCTACTTCTGTAGTGATCCTGCCTCATAAACCCACAGAGGGGTCACTATGAGTCGGATCCAAGTCAATGTCAGTGAGGTTTTTTTTTTTTTTTTTCCATAATGCCAAGTTTAATGTATATATACATAATACACATCTGAGTTCTGAGTGACCTTTTTTTTTTTAGAGCTTTGCAAATAAAAATTAATTTTAGCACAAATGAAGCAAAATTGATAAGGAAAACCTTCCCTGCTCCCTCCCTCCATTACTAAAATATCACCTTTAAACCAACTGTCTCAAGTGGCTGATAACCTTGTTGAAGTTAATTTGGAGGCTGGCCCAGTCCTTAATGGACAGCAGCATATAATGAATCCTCTATCCCTTATTTAGTACCAGCTGCAGCCACTGCTGCTGGAGCAGACACAGGAGGCTGATGGAGCTTCAACAATTGCTTACTGTTCATTCCCAAAATAAATGCTTCTCACCCCTGGAGATAAACTTTTCTGTCTTTACCTTTTCAGAGAGAACTCTTCTATGATTCTGTTTCTTTCTAGCTTAGACCATAAAAGGTGAAGTCATAAACTTACTATTCATAATTATTAATGCAGCAAAAAAGTACCACCCTACTTAGTTGGTAGCTTGTGCAAGCCTTTTTAGGTTACTGGAAGCTTGGCATCACCTCTACAGATAGAATTTAAAAATTCACTAGTGACATGAGCATGTTCTGTAGATGTCTCAGCTGCTAGAGCTTACTCTTTTGGGTTAATAGGTAATAATGGAGTTTAGTTTTGAACCAGGAGCATGGCACAATGAACAAAAATACCTTCTTAAATAAATTAAAGAAACTCTGGCAGCACAGTGCCTAAGGTATTTGACTGCTAACCAGAAGGTTGGTGGTTCAAATCCACTAGCCACCCCACGGAAGCAAGACTGGGCAATCTACTTCCGTAAAGATTTACCACCTTGGAAAACCAGTGGGGGTCGCTGTGAGTCAAAATTGACTTGATGGCAGATGTTTTGAATAAATTAGGTAAGATTCCATTAATTTAAGTAAAGATCCCATATCTCTATTTGGAGCCACTAGAATTTGCACCAAAACTTGCTAAAATAAATAGCCTCAAGTTTGGGTCACAGTATTCTTTTTACATGGACACTTTAATTTTCGTAAAATGTTAGTAGTACTTCTTTTAGTTTAAACTTCCCCTTTCCAACAGTCAAAGTAATGTAGGGCTTAAAGGGTCAGGGAGGAATTGGGGATACTAATTCTCTTCTCTCCTTGGCCTCACATCTGACCAAATCAAGAAAGAAAACAAAACAAAAAACAGCGGCTGTTGAGTTGATTCTGACTCCTGGTGACCTCATCGTGTGTGTCAGAGTAGCACTGCACTCCGTAGGTTTTCATGGCTGTGACCATTCAGAAGCAGATTGCCAGGTCTTTCTTCAGAAGCTCCTCTGGGTGGTTCAGACTGCCAACAGTTTCAGAAAGTAGCCCAGTGCTTAACCGTTTACACCACCAGAGAGTCCTCAAATCTAACCACCTGCATATAAATCCCACAAAGTATTTAGAGTTCTATTTAATTATTCCAGATTTTAGTTACTCATTGCATCAGTTGGCCAATATTTAATGAACATTTACCCTGGGTCTAAGGTGTTCTTTTTGTTGTGAGGTGCAGTTGATCAATTTCAACTCATAGCAACACCATATGACAGAGTAGAACTTCCCCCTAAGGTTTTCTGGGCTGTAATCTTTATGGAAGCAGATCACCAGGTCTTTTTCCCTCACAGCCACAGGGTGGGTTTGAACCACTAACTTTTCAGTTACCAGTGAACTGTTTAACTGTTCCTTATTCTGGAAGAGTTCATAATCTACTTGAGTACAGAAGACAAAATGTTTGTACAAAAATATAGTACAAGAAATCAGAGTAGCACCATGGGAAATGATTCAGACTTTGGAGCCAAACAAACAAGGAAGGGGTGGTGGTGTGTGACTTCAGCTCTGCCCTAACTAGCTCTGTAGACTTGAGCATGTCATTTAACTTTGGATGTCATGGACTGGAGCTACACATAATAACTTGTAGCGTTACATGTGTTATAGAGGTTATGTATATAAGGATCCAGCAAGATGCCTAGCTCACAATAAGGGTGACTGAATGCTAGCTAGTATCAGGGCCTGATTACTGGCATTATTAATGGCTATCTGACTCCTTAGAGATTTTTGAGCAGGGTAGAACACTATGAGTCGAACTCAACTGGACAGCACCTAGCAACAGCAACAATGAGGATGGCTGAGGAATAATTCTGTGTTTCTGATGAACGATGGAATGAAGACTAATGTTTGTTTCTTTGTTGAATTTTAGGAAGCCTACTCCGTCAACCTTGAAGGCAGGGGAACTACGCACCCATGTTAGCCGCTGCCAAGTTTGTATGAGAAGAACATAATGAAGCCCAACTCTCAGCTAATGTCACAATATGGTGCTATTCCTTTTTTTTTTTTTTAACAGCAGTGAACCCCTAGAAATATATCCTGTGTACCTCACTGTCCAATATGAAAACAGTAAAGTGCCTTATAGGAATTTGCATAACTAACACACCCTGCTTTATTGGCCCTCTACTTGCTGAAGGAGAAAAAAAGACAATGATAAGCTTTAAAATATTGACATACCAAATGGCACTTTTAATGAAATAAAACGTGAAGATGCTCTATCATACAATGCACTGATGTGTAAAGTGAGAGCTCCATCCGAAACCAAAGGGTGCTAGGAGGTATGCAGTGCCTTAGATACTGTTGACCCCCCATTTGTCATTCTTGTATTATAATAGATTAATTTTTCACCCCCAGATATAAATGTTGTTTATATCACTGTCTAGCTGTTTCAAAATTCAGGTCCCTCAGTCTGTATATTGTTCCTGTACAAATGATAGTAATGTAAAAACAGTTTTTGAACTTCCAAATGGAATTAGGGACTCAGTAGCCGTATCTTGCAAGCCCCAAATATAAATGTATGTCTTTCTGCTCTGTGTGGTACTATGCAGCTGCTTTTGCAGAAATCAAAACTTTCCTGTGGAATAAAGATGGTCCAAAAGTAGTCAGAAATTAAATATATATATATATTAGTAATTTATATAGATGTCAGCAATTAGGCAAATCAAGTTTTAGCTTAACCTCCACTGTTAAAATAAAGCTTACATAGTTTTCTTCCTTTCAAAATTGTGCTGTCCTTTTAACAGGTTTTTATACACTAGGGTATTGAATGTGAAACATCAGTTTTCATTGTTCACTTCCAAATCAAGCATTGTGTATTGCCAAAACCAAACCCAGGTTCATGAATATGGTGTCTATTATAGTGAAACATGTACTTTGAGCTTATTGTTTTTCTTCTGTATTAAATACTTTCAGGGTTTGAAACATTAATCACAAACTGAATGACTTGACTTAAAATAACAACCACCTTAAAAGGCCTTCATTTTATTAGTATTCCTCATTCCGCAGCCTCATTCTGGTGTGAAAAACAGCTCTGTTGAATCAGAATGTCAGTATTTTTTGCATGTAAGCACATTCAGGCCACTTCCTTGGTTTCTCATGAGCTGTGTTCACAGACTTCAGCAGGGGAAGGGATGGATTGCAAGAGGGCAGAATTGGACCACTATGCCTGAAATGATATTTCACTTAAAGTATCCAAAACGTTTGAAAGACTACTAAGGCCTTTTATGTAATTTGTTTCAATGTGTATTTCTTAAGAATTCAAATTTGTAATAAAACTATTTGTATAAAAATTAAGCTTTTATTAATTTGTTACTAGTATTGCCCCTAGAAACATTAAAAGAATAGTTACTGCACAAGCCACTAATAAATTTTTAAGCTTTGCATATTTTAGATCATTTTTATTTTGTACTTTATCTAAATAGGAGTCATAGAAATAATCTAAAGGAAATGTGTGTGTGTGTGCGTGTGTGTGCAGGTATATAATTGATCTGCTCCTTCCATCCATCTATGCACTTATTCCATGTATCCATCTTTTTATTCATTATACTGTACTGAGGATTTACCACTTGTCAGGCATGGTTAGATACAAGATAAGCAGGGATGAATAAAACATATATCTAGCCCTTAAACACTGAGTCATTGATGAGGGCTGAGATTATAATTATGTAGATAGGAGTTGGGGAGAGAGTTGAATTCCAAGTCTTACTTGAAATATCAAGGAAAATATTTCACAGATTTCTTTTTCCTCAGTGATTTAAGGTTTAATTTAAACTTGATTAAAATATAGTTTGTGGAGGATGAGTATGATTCAGAGTACTCAAGAAAAAGTCTTACATATTGTAATGTTCTTGATTATCTTACCTGACAGCTGTAGTGAGGACAAAATAGGATAATATATGAACATGACAAGCACAGTGCTTGGGACATGAGACATTAGTCAAGATGTAATTTCAGTCATCTCCTTCCTACCTTTGATAATGATGTAAAGAGTTCTTTTGCCCTCATTATAATATAGGAACAAAGAACTAAAATCATGAGACCTAGTTTCTACTGAGGTTATTGAGACATATTAAACACCTTCATATGTTAGCCACTTGAGCCACTTTGAGCATCTTGTTTCTATGTAAAACTGATTTATCATAAATTTTTATTTATTATGCATAATCATATATATATACATATATATATGTTTGTGTGCATGTGTACACACACACACACACACACACATATATATATATATATATATATACATATATATCTCAAAATCCCATACTCACTGCAATTGAGTTGATTCCAAGTCATAGCGATCCCCTTTGGGTTTCCAAGGCAGTAAGTCTTTAGTCTAGTTATCAGTCAAATGCCTTAGGCACTACACTACCAGAGCTCCATATATATAAAACCAGTTGCTGTTGACTCTGGTTCATGATAATCCTATGTGTGTCAGAGTAGAAATGTGCTCTATAGGGTTTTCAATGGCTTATTTTTTTTTCAGAAGTAGATTGCCAGGCCTTTCTTCCAAAAGATTTGAACTAATGATCTCTTAGTTAGCTTCCAGGTATATTAATTGTCTGTACCACCTAGGGACTTCTTGATAAGAAGCTAAACAAAATAGTATGACACCTTAAATCCTATCATTCAGATCCTCTGCTTTTCATATCTTTTAATCAGCAAGCAATGTTTTTTTTTTGTTTTGTTTTGTTTTTTGGTTAGGTGCCATTGAGTCATCTCTGACTCATAGTAACCCTATGCACACCGAACATGACGCTGCCCAGTCTTGTGCCAGCCTCATGATCCTTGCTATACCTGAGCCCATCGTTGCAGCCACTGTGTCTATCCATCTCATTGAGGGCCTTCCCCTTCTTTGTTGATCCTCTACTTTACCAAGCATGATATCTTTCTCCAGGGAATGGTTCCTTTTGACAACATGACCAAAGTAGATGAGCTGAAGTCTGGCCATTCTTGCTTCCAAGGAGCATTCTGGCTGCACTTCCTCCAGGACAGATTTGTTAGTCCTTTTAGCAGACCATGGTACTCTTAGCATTCTTCTCCAGCACCACAACTCAAAAGCATCAACTCTTCCTGGGTCTTCCTTACTCGTTGTCCATCTCTCACATGCATAAGAGTTAATTGAAAATACCATGGCTTGGGTTAGGCACAGCTTAGTCTTCAAAAAAACATGTTTGCTCTTCAGCACTTGAAGGAAGTCCTATGCAGCAGATTTGCCCAATTTAATACATGGTCTGATGTCTTGATTGCTGCTTCCATTGGTGTTGATTGTTAGAGCCAAGTAATATGAAATCTTTGACAACTTCAATCTTTTGTCCATCCACTGTGAACCTGTTTATTGGAGCAGTTGTGAGGATTTTTATTTTCTTTATATTGAGGTATAATCCATACTGCAGACTGTAGTTTTTAATCTTCATCAGTAAGTGCTTCAAGTCATCCTCACTTTCAGCAAGCAAAGTTGTGTCATCTGCATATTACAGGCTGTTAATGAGTCTTCCTCCTATCCTGATGCCATGTTCTTCATATAATCCAGTTTCTTGGATTATTTGCTCAGCATACAAATTGAATAAGTATGGTGAAAGGATACAAAACCTTGATGTGCTCCCTTCTTGATTTTGAACCATGCAGTATCCCCTTGTTCTGTTTGAACGACAGCCTCCTGATCTATGACAGGTTCCTCATGAGTGCAATCAAGTGTTCTGGAATTCCCATTATTCTCAATGTTATCCACAATTTGTTATGATCCACACAATTGAATGCTTTGGCATAGTCAATAAAACATAAGTAAACGTCTTTTTGGTATTCTTTGCTTTCAGTTAAGATCCATCTGACATCAGCAAATGATATCCCTAGTTCCACATCCTCTTCTGAATCCAGCTTGCATTTCTGGAAGTTCTCTGTCAATATACTGCTGCAACCGTTTTTGAATTATCTTCTGTAGGATTTTACTTGCATGCGGTATTAATGATATTGTTCGATAATTTCCACATTCTGTGGGATAACCTTTCTTTGGAATGGGTACAAATATGTATCTCTTCCAGTCAGTTGGCCAGGAAGCTGTCTTCCAAATCTCTCGGCATAACCAAGTGAGTGCCTCCAGTGGGGCATCTGTTTGTTGAAACATCTCAGTGGGTATTCTGTCAATTCCTGAAGCCTTGTTCTTCACCAGTTCCTTCAGTGCAGCTTCAACTTCTTCCCTCAATACCATTGGTTCTTGATCATATGCCACCTCCTGAGATGGATGAATATCGACCAATTCTTTTTGGTACAATGACTGTGTATTCCTTCCATCTTCTTTTGATGCTTCCTGCATCATTCAATATTTTGCCCATAGAACCTTTCAATATTGCAAGTCGAGGCTTAAATTTTTTCTTCAGTTCTTTCAGCTTGAGAAATGCTGAGCGTGTTCTTCCCTTTTGGTTCTCTCACTCCAGTTCTTTGCACATTTTATTACAGTAATTGGCTTTGTCTACTCGAGCTGCTCTCTGAAATCTTGTGTTCAGTTCTTTTATCTTGTCATTTCTTCCATTTGCTTTAGCTACTCTCCGCTCAAGGGCAAGTTTCTTCTGGCAGAGTCTCTTCTGACATCCATTTTAGTCTTTTCTTCCTTTCTTGTCTTTTCAATGACTTCTTGCTTTCTTCATGGATGATATTCTTGATGTCATCCCACAAGTCTTCTGGTTTTCAATCACTGGTGTTCAGTGTATCAAATCTATTCTTTAAATGGCCTATAAATTCAGGAAAGATGTTATCAAGGTAATATTTTGGCTCTCGTGGACTTGTTTTGTCTTCAACTTGAACGTGCATATGAGCAGTTGATGGTCTGTTCCACAATCAGCTCCTGGCTGATAAAGTTTAGTTTAATTTTTAAATTAACTTATAGTACATTTGACTTTTTTATGTACAGTTCCATGAACTGTAATATATGTATAGGTCTGTGTAACCATCACTGAAGTCAAGATACAGAACAGTTACATCACCCCCCAAAATTCTCTCAGGCTATTCCTTTGTGTAACATCCTCATCCCACCCCTAAACCCTGACAGCCAGTGAACTTTTCCCCAACATTGTAGTTTTGTCTTTTCGGTAGTGTTGTATAAATGAAATCACACAGAATAAAACTTTTTGAAATAGTCTTCTTTCACTCAGCATAATGCATTTGACATTTCTCCATAGTGTTGCATGTATCAGTAGCTAGTTTGTTCCTTTTTATTGCTGAGTGGGATTACATTTTATAGATGTACCAGAGTTTGGGAGCTCTGGTGCCATAGTGTCTAAGGATTTGACTGCTAACCGGAAGTCTGGTGGTTCAAACCCACCAGCCACTCCCCGGAACGAAGGTTGGACAATCTACTTCCGTAGTGATACCGCCTCGGAAACCTAAGGAGAGGTCACTATGAGTCAGAACTGACTCAATGGCAGTGTACTTACTTACCAGAGTTTGCTTAGCTCTTCACCATTAAAGGACATTTGAGTTGTTTTTTGGTGTTTGGTCCAAGTTCTGGTGATTTTGATTAGAGACTAAACCTCGTTCAGGTTTTTCTTTTGTGAGCATAAGTTTCATTTCTTTGGGGTAAATACCCAGGAGTAGAATTGCTGGGTCATATAGTAAGTGTATGACTAACTTTGTAAGAAACTGCCAGACTATTTTCCATAGTGGCTCTATTATTTTGCATTCCAGTAGCAGTGTATGAGAGGTCAATTGCTTCACATTCTTGCCAGCATTTGGAATTGCCTGTAATTTTTATCAGCTATTCTAATAAGTTGTTTTTATTAGCTCTTGTTGAGCCACCACTAGCGCGTGTGCACACGTGTGTGTGTGTGTGTGTGAGAGAGAGAGAAAGGTATCTGTCATCGAGTTGATTCCAACTCACAGTGACCCTATAGCACACAGTAGAACTGCCCCATAAGGTTTTCTAGGCTATAATCTGTACAAGAGTAGATCTCCAGGGTTCAGATGTATATTCAAATTCATCTCATGGATTATATATTATCCCAAGGGCCATTCTGTTATATTCTTGGAACCACATAGATCTGAGTTCAAATGCTGATCCTGCCATATATAAACTGGGTGACTTTGAGCAAGTTACATAAGCTCTCTGAGATCTGCATAACTTAGGTAATCTCACTTTTGCAGTTCATCGAAATGAGAATTATAACCTGAGAGACATTTGTAGGAAAAGTAAAAAATTGTTCTGTGTTCGCCCATCTTTCTACCCATTCTTTCCATCCTCACATCTGTTCTTTCCATTCATCTCTTCTTCATTCATGTAATTTGTG